GCGAAGCCCTGGTGGGGCTGCATCAGCATCCCCTCCTGCTCCCGTCCTTCCCGGTGGTCGTGCGGTGGTTTCTCTGACAGGCAGGGGATGCTCACAGGCCTTGCTGCTGTGGTGGGCTGTGAGTCTGGAGGTTGTTGTTACAGTGGGGGATATATGGGCACATTGGGGCTGATGATCGCTGGACCTATCAGTCGTGCCTGTGGTTTGAATGTCTGCTAGCAGCTCTGCTTTTGGGGTCTGCTGAGCTAGAGCACCTCAGACTGGAGCTGCAACCAGTCAGAAAGCAGTGGGGTTAAGGTTATGCTGAGCTGAAGGTTAATTCTGGTAGAGCTGCTTTTGGGCTGCCCCACTGAGCATCCTCTGGATGCAAGTCAGGTCCTACAAGTGTATGTGCATGTGTACTCTGGTGTCCCTCCCCATGCCCCTGAGCAGTTTTTAGTGAATGAAAAATCACTGCTCATCAAAGCAAATACATTTAAGGTGCACACGTAAGTCTCAATTTTTGTTCTTAGTAGGTAGCTTCTTTTCTTCCCACTACCTTCTTTTCTCCTAAATGCATAAATCTAATGCAAGTGACTTTTCTATTTCTTTGAGACTCATTGTTCTCATCTGCGAATTCTTTGGTGCAAGTAAACGTTGCTTTCCCACTCTCCTAACCTGTTCTTTCCCACCCCCTTCTCAGAGTTAGTTTACTAGGGGGAAAAAAAACACAGCTGACAAACGGCTTTGCAGACTTCAAGTAAAATGAATGTGGTGTTTAACTGAGTTGAACTAAAACGTGACTTCTTGAAAGAAGTCTGCAGAAGATTTGGCAGACCTGTTGACCTGAGCAGAGGGCTCTCCGGGAGCTGTCACGCCGTAAGTCAGCCTTGGGGATCACCTTCACGTTGACATCCGTCAACATGCACTGAGCTGGCTCAACCCTGCTCCTTTTAAATAAAGCCATAATCCCTGGGCTAGATCAGATGCTAAGACTGATAGTAAAGGTAGATTTCCAAAGTAGTGCTTGGGGGATTTTGCTGCATCAAGAGTTTTGCAAGGGAATTGAATGCTCAGTGCAGCTTGCATTGCACCGAGTGCTTACTTCCAGGAGATTTCTGTCCTTTCTAGCAAAAAATTCTCCCTTTGGGAGGTGAGACGTGTTTTGTTTTCTCCTTTAAACCCTTTGACTCACCTTCAGGAGAAGGGGCTTGCTGAGAAAGCAGACAGGTATTGCCTGATGGTAGCTGGTGTGTGTGTATTGCGATACCAAATTACCAGCCAGGGTGCCAAGAGTGGGTAGTACAGTGTGTCTGCACGGGCAGGTGGGGAGGGCAGGGCTGCAGGCACTGAAATGTTTTCTTCTTTACTTTTAAAACATATGAAGTGAAAAGCTAAATTCACTGTTGTTCTTAGCTATCTCTTGAAGTCTGCTTATGACATGCAGCACTCAAACCCCCAAGACTGAGCCAAGGCTCGCTCTTTACCCTCTTGAAAGAGTAACATGTCACCAGGGCTCCAGTTTTTGTTTTAAATAACTTTCTGGTCCATACGTCTGGTGAAAGTGGTGTTTGTGCTCCTCGGGCTGTTGGCCCAACTTTTGTTTCTGCTGCTGATAACAACTATTGCCATCCTGCTAAAAGAGAGGTTTGCTGATTGGGTCAAGCTTGTTCTTGGTATATTTGCTCCGAATTAATTTGATTCACTAGCAAGGAATGGAAATGCATTGATTAACAGTTATGCTCTAGATTTCTGGGAATTGCTGGTCTCATGGTCTTACCTCTTATACAGTGAGCATTTGCCAGTTCCCATAGCAAAATGATGCCACCTCCTGCAAGGTGAGGCAGTTTGGGAACTTGTGCTGAGAGGGGCAACCCTTGCTTGCAGGCACCCTCTGAATGCACAGACAACTTCCACCTCAGGTTTGTATTTCTGATGCTTATTTGCTTTGAAATCTATCTACAATATCCTGTCTCAATCCGTGGATGTAGCGATTATCACCCATGCAGCACGAGGTCACCATGACCGAGTTGTTCACTTCTATTTATGCCAGTAGATGGCTGGGCATTAGGTTACCCGCCGTTGCAGCAGAGCTGGCAGGGTGGGAAACTCCAGCCCGGTGCTGTCTGACAGCAGGTACATGTGGACAGATTTACACCCGTGTTAGGTGTCCAATAGCCCGGCGAGTACAACCCTGAGGTTGATGTGAAATAGTGGCCCCAAGCCCGGTGTAGTGCCCGCAAGGCTTGGACTCGTCTTGCCATCAGATGACAAAAAGGTGTCCCAGCCCTCCTGTTTTGTCTGTCTCTGTGCTGGGTCTTGCTGCTGCCTGGCCGTGTCCTGAAGCGGAGAAGGACTCTTGGTCACACTCCTCTGACATGCCACGTTCAAGGTGTTGGCCAGAGCCTGGAGCTCTTGAGTCTACCCTGTGTTTTGGAGATAAATAGATACATAGATTATATATACATATCTATAGATATGTCATATAGATAGATATATTTCTTTGTTGGACAGGCTTGTTTGTCACAACTCATTAGCCCTTGGTATTGTACTGTCATAATTAGCTTTGCTTTGTGTGAATTTAAGCTGCAGGTCCAATGCCATCCTTGCTGGTTGTAGCCAAAGGGGTCTGACAGTTGGGGTGCTGCGGGGTAGATGAGGAGCAGGTCCCTCCCTTTGCTGGCAGAGGGGACACCCTGTTAGATCTGGACCCTTGATGTTGGGCACCTCTGCTGTCCTTCTGAAAGCAGCAGTTCCTGCAACCCCAGCTTGCTGTCTTTGAAGATATTACACACGTAATTACAGTCAACACCAGCGCTCCTGATCCGTGACCGAGGGGCGTGTATCTCCCTCCATTTGTTCAATTCTCCGCATGCCTGCGGACACCGGACACGCCGGCTCCTGGCGCGTGCCGGGCCCTGCCCGCACCATTGCGCTCCCATATTTGCGCTTTCATTTCGGCACGTTGCCTTTGAGTGCCCAATTTCTTTATACTTCGGTGATGCTGAGGCATCCAAGCAGTTAGTTGGCTTTTTGAGATTGTTGAGGCTTTCTGGCCTTGAAGCCTTCACAATGCCATGAGGAAACCTATGGTGTATTGAGGGGAACAATGCTTTCTAAATTTTCCTCTTCTTTCAAATGGAAGTGATTCTTTTCCTGCCTCTCGAGATGAAAAGACAACATAGTGAGCTCACTCTGACCTTCAGTGAGGAACTGCTTTTTAATTAAAAAACAATAAGGATTTTCAGGTTAAAAAGATGTACGATACAAATCACCATCTAGATCTGTTTCGCAACTTCTTTTTTTGTAATTGTTTGGCGTGTTCCCCATTTCCGCGGGCTGGGTAAATCCTTTGTGGGTTTAATCTCTAGCCTGCAGGCACATAAAATCCATTGCACAATTTGGCCTTTGCATTTTAAAGATTTTTTTTTTTTTTACCTTAGCTGAAATACCTGCAGCATCTTCTTTGCCACATGGTGCTGAGTGAGGAGGGAAGGGACCGCCTTGGCTTATTTCTAATCTCCATCTCCTCCCCGTTTCTCTTCCAACGTTGGTTTCTCCTATGTTAGTAAGGTGTGCTCTTTGAAATGCAAATAATCCCCGAATACCACTCGCTAATCCGTCTCTTGCCACGTCACCCCCCACCCACCCATGAATGCCCCAGCACTTCCCATCCCTGCAGGGTGGATGGCCAAGTCCTGATCTTGACCTGTATGAACCTGCTCTATTTGAGCAGTTGGGACTGGGGCTGTATCTACCATGGCTGCTAGAGCTATTTTTTTTAGGAAACAGCCACCTTGGGGCTTTAATTTTACTTTCTCTGCAAGAGCTGAAGAGAGAGAAGCGGGGAAACGCCAGCAGTTCCTGTGAGGTGCATGGTTGGAAGTGCTGGGAGAGCTCTGCGCTCGCAAGGAGAAAACCAAATCCATCTGGTGTCAAGTACTGATGAAATCTGCTGTATTGGAACAGCCTTGTATGGCAAAGGAGACTGGAGAGCCTCCTTCATGAGCAACATCCAGAAAAATGGGTTCAGGTTAGACTGTACTGAACCATGTAAGAGTTTCATTGCAACCAAAGCACATGCCCTTGTTTCAGTGCATGTTTTTGACTAGAAACCAATAACCTCAGATCATGCCTCAATGTTCTGCTGAGTAAAGCTTTCCAGATGTGAACACCCTTCAAGCAAATGCTGCACCAGTGTGACTGCTTTAGTGGGGAACATCTTAAAAGAGAGACTCTAACGTGCTCCAAATTAGCACAATGAATAAACATTGTTCTGGTTGTGCTCTAGGTCCTGCCGTGGACCTGGTCTTGGGACTGTTCAGCTCTTCTGAGATTCAATTATTAGTTTATTTATCTATCTATTTATTTGTGTAGTAGTAGTAGTAGTGTTTTTTTCCCCCTACTTCATGGCCACAGTGCTTTGAGTTTTGAAGCAGAGAGGTTGCTATACAGGTGATCAGCAGAGGTATGAGATGTTCTTAAAAGATGACTGAAACATCAGATTTGGCACAGCTGTCACATTAGTCAGGGTCTTGCTTTAAAGCACTGCTCAGTTCTGAGGTTCGTGGCTGTTATTTCACCCCTCTGCAAAAGTAGGAGGGCTTCTTACGAAACAGGATGAAACGCTTGACGCCTGTGGTTTTCAGTGCTTCCAGGATTACAGGGTGTTGTGAGAAGAGTAGCGTCCGTTTTGTTAATGTGCGTCCCCTGGAAGAGGGGTTTGTGCCCACGGGAAATAAAAACTATTTATTCATGTGAAAACAGTGGACTTCATCAGAAGATTTTTGCCATTGGGAGAATTAAGATGTGGATTTATACTGTGCTATTCTAAACCAGGTGGAGGTCTGGGGCTTTTCCTGCTTGTCTGGAGGTGTGGCTGTTGTGTGAACAAATGCAACGCACGTGCAATAGTTGGTGCATTCAGCTACGTGTGTGCAAACCCATCTCCACCCTTGCCTCGCCTCCACCTCTGTCTGACCATCCTAAATCTCTTTTGCTCCTTTCACCCCATCCAGTATTCCACCGAGCTGAAAAAGCTGTACTGCCAGATCGCCAAGACGTGTCCCATCCAGATCAAAGTGATGACCCCGCCGCCTCAGGGAGCCGTCATCCGGGCTATGCCAGTCTACAAGAAAGCCGAACACGTCACTGAAGTGGTCAAGCGCTGTCCCAACCACGAGCTGAGCCGGGAGTTCAACGAGGGTAAGGAGGGCAGTGCTTTGCTGGACTGATGAGCAGCTGCTGCGAGGATTTGGTGGCGGTGTCTTTTTATTTCTCATGCTTAGTAAGAAGCTTCATGCTACACTGTAGTCCCCATGCAAGCACGTCCTTGGGAAGAAAGTGTTGAAATCAACTCCGTGCCTGCCCAGGTTGGATGGATCTGTCCCCATGGCAGGCAGTGCCCTTCTGGCAGCCTTTCCCTGTTCCACTTTTGCTCTCGCGATGCGAAGCAGCTGTTCTTATGTTCAGGAATGAGCTTCCACGTCGCTGGGACAGGGATCTGGTAACAGGATGCAATATCATCTCCAGCCCTTAATCCACACCTCAAAGACGGAGGGGCTGTTTATCTCTAGCAGGATAACACTAAGTGCCAGCATTGACTGTAGGCAACCTTCCTGTACATTTAACGCTATCGGTCCAGTATTAATGTTTTAATCTTTTACTTGCTTCTCCTCATGTTAGTGAGGTAGCAGCTGTTTTTAAAATGTGCTGGGGTTTTCTGCAAACTCACGGGCTGTGCTCTGTTTTGCCTTGGCCGCTGAAGTTCACATAAGTTCAGCTGAGCATCTGTTTTACTCTAAGTGCATTATTTATCTCCTACTGTAAAAAAACCCGCTCGGTATCAGTTAGCAGGCTGTCTCGGGAGCCTGGGTCCCTGTGCTGGTTACAGTGCAGCCAGCTGGATGAGCCCAGAAATAAGCAAGGACTTGGGAGTGTAAAATCAGACAGGTCTTTGAAATAGTTTTTCATGTTAGAAAGTGCTTTTCTGACCAAACTGGATTTTTGAGGGTTGGTGCCTTGTACAGTGGTGGAGTTTTAAGAAAGGAAAAAAACCTAAAGTCATAAATTCTTATTCTGGGATAATAATTTCTCTAGGTGTACACTGTGTTTTGAGTAAGAAGGGAACAGTTTGAACACAAAGCAAATTCTTTGGGTGAACCCGTAGCAGGCATCTCCTCAGAATTTAGCACTATGGTGTAGAAACACTGAAGAAAATTTTTTTGAATCATTGGAAAGGGTCCTAGAAACAACGAAGATTGTGTTTCCTTCTGCCACCACTGTAAGCGAGTGTGATTTTTTTTCAAGTCGACCATTAATTAAATGCATATTTCTTCTGCTGCTTACCTCCTTTTTAGCTCCGTAGGATCAAGACTGACAGGAGGAAACGGAAGAGGGTCAGCGGGTGATGGGGAAAAGAGTAGGGACTGAGACTTGGAGCCTGCTTTGTTGTAGGGACTGAGACTTGGAGCCTGCTTTGTCCACACGTTAGTGGGAGGAAAATAAAGGCTTTCAGCCAGTGTGAAAATCTACATGGACTTGATTTTGCTGCCCTGCACATGAGCTCGTTTCACTGAACGGTCTCTCTTGATTTTTGCCTCCTTGTCCTTGCAGGGCAGATTGCGCCTCCCAGCCACCTGATCAGAGTGGAAGGGAACAGCCATGCCCAGTACGTTGAAGACCCCATCACTGGGAGGCAGAGTGTCCTGGTCCCCTATGAGCCACCCCAGGTATGTCGGGAGCTCGGGGTGGTGGCATCCCAGCACACACAGCAGGGAGAGGATTATAACTGTAGTCAAAGGAGTCAGGATCTTGTGCTTCCCTTCATCACAATTAATCCCTTCTTCCTCTTTGGGCTTTTAAACATCCTCTTTATCTCTTGAGAGGAGGAGTTTTAATTTCTTTTAGGGAAGCCTTTTGGTGGGGCCTATTTTGTGCTGGTCTGATCCCAGCTCAGCTGTGGGAGTACAAGAGGAGAGCCTGGAAAAGCAAAGCTTTTCATCCCCCCCATCTCTTCTGCTCATCCCCTTTGTCTCCTGCAGGTTGGTACGGAGTTCACCACAGTCTTGTACAACTTCATGTGCAACAGCAGCTGCGTGGGAGGGATGAACCGGCGCCCGATCCTCATCATTGTGACGCTGGAAACCAGAGAGTAAGTGGTGCATCACAAGTACAGCCCTTTGCTTGAGAGAGGGCTGTCTGGCTCCTCTTCTGCTCAGGGCAGCATTGCATATCCTTAGGAACAGTTTGCAAGGGACAATAGGATATTTTCCAAATCTTTGCAGCTGGGAGTTGCCCAACACCTGGGAAATCCTGACATGGGAGGTTTGGGTCTGTCTGTGTGAAGTCTGGTGTGAAGTTGAGGGATGCTGCCAGATCACATCCGAGATGATGTTTCCTCTCACCTCTCTTCCCAGCGGGCAAGTCTTGGGCCGCCGATGTTTCGAAGCCCGCATTTGCGCTTGCCCAGGCAGAGACCGCAAAGCAGACGAGGACAGCATCCGCAAGCAGCAAGTCTCCGACAGCACAAAGAATGGTGATGGTACGAAGCGCCGTAAGTAGCTGGCAGAGCTGGGCAGATTGCAAATCCTCTTGTCCCTGGGTGCAGATGCGACCCCAACGCTTGCGCTGTGGGGCTGGAGCGGTGCTGTGCATGAGGTTGGAGGCAGGAGAGCATTAGATGTCTGTTACCCCAGGATCGATCAGCCTGAAAAATGAGCTGGTGTTCACACAACAGCATTTGATAATCGGGGTTTGCGGCTTCCTTGTGGCCACCCAACACCGGCAAAGCCGTGCCTGCCTTATGGAGCTGGGCTGCAAGCAGGGACCCTCTCAGAGCACTGCAGATCTGAGCTGGCCATGTGCTTTGTGTCTCTTGTATCTCTTTTCTTTTGCTTCTTTTTTTCATCTTTTTTTAATGGGATGCTTTTGGGGTTTCTCTTCCAGCTTTTCGGCAAGGAACCCATGGCATACAGATGACATCTATCAAAAAAAGACGTTCCCCAGATGATGAGCTCTTATACTTGCCGGTGAGTTCTCTCTATCTCTGCACTTACCCTATGTTTAGTATCTTTCTCTGGGACTTCAGGCAAGTCAGCTGCTCACCCAGACCTGAGAAATAGCTGAGAATGAGAATAGGATGTTGAATTTTTAATATTTTTTTTAAAATCCCCAGAGCTACCTATTTAACAAATATATTCCAAACAAAATAATATGAAAAATACCATTAGCTTCTGGCTGAGAGTGGCTTGTGCAAGGTATACAAGAATATCCCAAGGGATCTTTCTGTCCTGGTGGAAATGTTTTCTTGGAGACATAACTGGGTTTCCTCCTCTGTCATTTCTGTGTCTGTGGCACTGGAGCTTTCTCTAGAGATAATGGGTGTTGTTTTGCTGACAAAGGTGGATGTTTCTCTGGTTTTTACATGTATAACCATCATTGTGGAGTGCTAGAAGTGAAATATGCTGTGTTAAGTGTAGGATTGGAAAGGGCAAGAAGAACTGGCTGCTTCCCCTTGTGCCACGTTTAGTTGGATAAATGATAAATCACAGTGTGCTTAGAGGAGAGGGAAGATCCAAACCCAACACCCAAATTCAAGTACTCTTTTATTTCCTCAAGGCATGTAAGATTCAGCACCAGATCTGTTTACATCTGAGGCAAGTAAAGACGTTTACTGCCCAACAGATTGGATCAGAATATTGCTTTTGGTTGGCATAGATTTACATCGAGCCAGATGACAACCCCAGGATGTTCGTTAGCCTGCAGTGTCAGATTATCGCTCACCAACGTTATCTGCTGTACCTCTAGCACAAGATGTAGCGGTTTGATTGTGTATGCATAAACAGAGTATTTGCATCCTGCTTTGGTCATTTTACATGACTTCATCGAAAACTCCCTAAGGTGACTGTCACTATGGATGCAGTCCTTTAAGGCTTTTCCCTCTTTTCTTTCTCTTGGGATGCAGGTGAGGGGCCGGGAGACGTATGAAATGCTCCTAAAGATCAAGGAGTCCCTGGAGCTGATGCAGTACCTTCCCCAGCACACGATTGAGACCTACAGGCAACAACAGCAGCAGCAGCACCAGCACTTGCTCCAGAAGCAGTGAGTACGAGGGTGCTGTGCAGGGGTATCACCAGGGATGGGGAGAGAGGAGAGAGACACAGAAGGCTTCTGCACAGTTGTCTGTAGGAATGTGGTGTAGAAATGGATGCCAGGAGTTTGGCCAAAGCCAAGGGTCTACAGAACTTGAGAGACTTTGAGTTTGAGATCCAGGTTTCGCAACCTGTGCGATGGGACAAAATGGTCCTCCATCCCCAGGTGTGGATCCTGACTGCTTGCAAGGTCCTTCTCTGGTCTCTCATCGCAGACAGTTCACCTTTTGGCCTGGGAGGGTGAGAAGGGCAGGATCAAAGCCTTGTTTCTGACTTCTGGAGCCTGAGGCCCAACAAGGTGGTGCTATTGGACAGCCTGCAGATGAATGCATGCATGCCCAAGCTGGGGACTGCAGGATGGATGTGCCCCATCGTCTGCTCCATGGGGAATGGCAGCACACATGGAGCCATCTCCATGCCTTCTCAAGTGTCCTTCTGAGCACACTGTCAAGAGCACACAGTGCCAGGACTGCGAGCACCAGCCCAACCGAGTGCTCGGACCCCAATGCTGAGCACATCTGGTGCTGTTGGAGGGCTGGTGTCTCGGTGGGATGTCAATGCTGTCAGTTCCTCAGCTATAAAAAGGGAAGCTGAAAGCCAGGAGCAAGGATTAAATGTATAAGTATTGCTTTGTGACCAGGGGGTGCTTCAGAGAACGATTGTACTCATGCACTTTTAATGCATTTTTAAGAACTAATTTGTCACCGACAAGCATCTGCACATTGCACATAAGAAACTTTCCATCCGGACAGACACAGTCCCTGTCTGAACTTGGCTGGCAGAGCTGCACCAGGATTACTTTGGGCGGTGTTAGTGGCAGGAGGAGAGGGAGAAGAAGAGCCAAATCAGTGTCTGGTTTCCACTTCCCCCCTCTGTTCCCAAAGCTGTGCAGTTACAGAGCCTGGGTCAGAGGATGACTACCCAGACGGGTCTGAAAGCGGTGTCATTCATGGGCATTGCTTCACCTGCTGTATCGGGTGACAGAAGACAGTCGCCCAGGCTGTAGGTAGCGGCCAGCGGTAGTGCTTAGGATCCTGCGCGTTCCTGCGGGTAAGCTCACGCGTCAAGAGGCTGCGGGTATCGCTCATTCCTCTGCAGAGGTTAGCACGGGGCCAAGGCACCACATAAGTCCCACTTGAGCCTGTAGGGATTTATTTCAGTGCCTTGGCCTTGTCTCGGGCCTTCTGCAATACCACGGCTTCCTGCCAGGTCCCTGCATGTGCTCGCATTTCGACCCGTGTGTTTTTAGTGTCAGCTGGAGTCTTCTGGAGGTGGGAAAAAAGCCTTTGGCCAAAATGGCTCGAGCAGCCAGGGGCTCTGGGCTCTTTCTTTTAAATTATCATGATTATTATGATTATTATTATTATTATTGTCTCTATTATTCATTTTTATCAGTAATCCACACTTTGTGTATCTTATAGCTTGTATTTACTAGCTCCTAGGCATTGCAGCTTCTGCGCTCAGCTGCATGTCTTCAGAGCTCCAGCTGAACTATGGCTATTTCAGCTAAGAAATGGTTTTGGTAGCAGAAATGGGTGGCATCAATGACAGCTTTCACTCGGTGCTGACAGTTCCTTTGCCATAATTACTGTTTTCCTTCTTCCTGTATCAATAGGATGATGGGTTCCTGGCAACTGAAGTTGGTATTTATGTTACCTTTAAGACCAGCATGTGTGAGTCCAGCCCTTTAATTTAATGAAACTTCTTTTGGCCTATCTCCTGGCACTTGTCCAGTTATACACTCCTTTTTCTCAGCTGCTGAGTGTGCTCAGATACTGAGGAGAAAGATTAAGAGCTTTTAAGGATGCCAGGAGTGGGGAGAAAAATACCTTTGTGTTTGTCCAGAGCTGCTGCAGTTGTCCCTGCTGCCCATCAGGCAGAGTCCTCTGTGCTGAAATGCACGTTCAAGCAATATTTTCCTTGATGCACTTGGGTTTTGGTGCTTTTTCGTCAATAATCCAGGGTATGACTTAATTTCTGAAGGGATGTGTTCAAGGCAAGGGGATATTTAGGCTGGAAGGACTCATAGGTACCGTTGCACCCCAAAAAAGAATTGTAAAAGAGCTTCAAGTGAGAATGGGGAGAGAAGAGACTTTGTAGGGACTGCTTTGGGTAAGAGCAACGTTGTATGTGAGCAGGTTGCTGGGAGATGTCCACTGCTTCCTTGACTCCTTTGCGAGGCTGTTCTGGCTTTAAAAGAAATGTTTGGAGAGTAGGAAAACCAAGGATGAGACTCTCACGGTGAAAGGTAGTTTTAAAAATAGAGATTTTTGGAGAACAACTGTATAATTGCTTTTGTGTGCACGCAGAGCAGCTTTGCATTCAGCAGGCCAGCAGATGCAACTGTCTCGCTGTTTGGGAATAAAAAGGACAAATCTGGTGACAATCAAAGTTTTGTGTCCCACGAGATGATGAAAGCACAGCAATGATCCACATTGTGCCAGACCACCATCTTTCTCTGTCTCATCTCCTCTCTCTCTGTGTGCTCCTTTGTGCATGGGTTTCTCTTATTTACTGTTATGCCAAATACCTTCATGATCATAGGTGGGAAGTTTTGGGGTTTTTTCTGCAGTTTCTGTCCTTCCTTTTTCACTGCTGAATCCTGGGGCTTGTATTTAAACAGCAGCACACATGTTTATTTAGAAGGCTTCCTTTACATGGTCAGCCACCATTGGCTTAAAACGTGGATTTACCAGAAGGTCCCTGCTGCCAGAGATACCTGAGGTGGCCTGTGCTTTGTTGGAGAATGAAGGTTTTTTGATACTCCAATATGAAATACATTTACCATCAATATTCCTAAGGAGTATCTGTAAGGGTTTCACTGGAAAATTTTCCATATTCTGTTTTCAGAACAGTCTTTATTTCAATTTATTTCAAGTTGGAAGGGACTCATAAGGACCATCAAGTCCTGCTCCCACAACTGAAGGGTTTCCACAAAGTCTTCCAGTGGCTACCAAGAAGAGGGCTCTGATGTCCAAGTGTGATCTTACATCCCAGCAAACAAATTCAAGCAATAATGAGCAGCACAGCACGTTATCCAAATGAGAAGGAGTGAACACCGCAAGGGAGGTGACAAAGCTGAGCTACCCAGTGCCTGGGGTGCCCCCATTTAGATGGGAGCTGCAAGGATCCTGATGCTTGCTGTGGCTGGGAGGGGGCTGCTGGGGAAGGTGCTCTTCATACCTCCTCCTACTGATTCTCATTTTTGGTGTGGAAGCTAATAGTGGATTTTTGCATGGCTTTGGTTTGGTTTTGTGGTGCTGTGAGCTCCAGGCACTCGGGTAGCGTTCTAGGAATTGCCAAGATGAGAGGTAGCAAGAAAAAAATGCGGAATTTGGTATACAGAGAAGTGCTGCGTTTGCTTTGCTGGCTCAGGTGTGCCTTCTCCACCAGCCAGCAGCCCCAGGGACCCTTTGGCTTTAGTGCAGAGGCTCCCCTGGCTTTGAAAATGGGAGTAGTTGGGATATAACCAATATGGCCCTGTCACAGGAGGCACCATCCTCTCTCCCTAGCACCAGGTTCTGGTTTTTAAGCAATTGAAGTGGGCTCAGTGGAAGCTGCTGCTTTCCTTTTTTCATCTGGCCAAGTGCTTTTTTTTTCTCCAGTATTTGTGCTGAAAACAGTCTCAAGGCACCATTTGCACCCATGAGACTGGGACACAAATCAGATTTCCCTATCCAACTGAGTGCTCTCTTTCTTGCCAAGCACCGGCTTGTACCTGGGGCTTCCCAGCTTCCTAAATCTCCCTGTCACACACCTTCACTGTAGGTGCCAAGACATCTACTTTTCCCCTCCTTCAAGCCCAAGCTGTGATCATGAAGGTGGAAAGTGCCTGTTTCTCTCTTGGTGACTGGTGGAGGGTCCTGTACATTCACCTTTTTCTTTTCTCTGGTTCCTTCTCCACAGTCTCCTTTCGGCCTGCTTCAGGAGCGAACTCACGGACTCAAGGAGAGACCTCCCCAAACAGAGCGATGCCATCCTAAAACATTCCAGCCCCCCAAACCCATCAGTATATCCATAAATAGCTTTGCCCAGCTGGCGGGACTGGGAACAGTGGGGCAAATACACAGCCTGATAGCAACACAGTAAATAGCGAGAGAAAAATCTCCTGAAGGGACTCAAACTTTGCAGAAACCACAGACACTGCTACAGACCTCTTAGCTGTAGCCCATAGCGTTGCGAGGTCGGGAACCACGGCGTCGTCTGTCTTGGTGTAACGTTTTCTTCCTGGTTTTGTAACCTGTGGATACTCTTTCCTGGTACTTCTGTATTTGTGAAACTCGGCGGGGTTTCTCTGAGCGGGTCTCAATTTTAAAATGCCTCATTTTTGTTTAAATTAAAAATGTGTTCAGGGGCTGGGGCGGGTGGAAGAGGGTTGGGTGTGTTTGAGCAGTCTGTGATAGTCAGTTTGGCCTGTTTCAATGCTGGTCATGCAGTAATAGCACAAGTAGCTGGAGTATTTGTACTGCTGGACAGAGGGAAGTAATAATTATATTAATAGGTGCTGGTAAGAAATAATGTTTTTTTTTTCTTCTAGAAATGCCCACTAATTTGGCATCATGAATTGTTACCCCTTACTTCTAATCTTAAAGAGTCTGATCTAAAATACCTGTAAATTGTAGGGAAGACTGTGTGACTTTGACTTTGCACCAGCACCACTGGTGTCAATCCAGCTTTGCAGGGCTTAGAAAGATCCCTCCTGACTCTGTGAAGGGTTGCTCCTTTCCTTGCAGACACTCAGCAGTTATTGGATGTTGCTTTAGAGCATTCATCAACCCTGCTACATTTTCCCCCATCGCTGCAGACCACACAGTTCAAAGGAAAGTGGTGCCAGCACATGTTGCAGTTGACTCAGCGAAGTCCCTGCCCACCTTCTCCATTAATTCTGTGACCAGTGGCCTTTGCTTTTGCTTATTGTGTCTGTAAAATATGTCCTAGCTTAGCAATTCC